GCCTTCTCACAGCCTGCCATGACTAGGGTCCTTTTATTTACCTGGATATGTTTAAGAAGTCAGGGGCCCAAGTATGAATGTTCTATTCACAGTCAACATAATCTTAATCATTTATTAATTTTTCTTTCTTAGTCCTCGGGTCTGCCAGTAGACTTTTAGTTCTCTGAGAGAAGACATTTCTATTTTACTCCTTTTCCATGCCTATCATGAATTATGGCACTGCGGCTAAGGGCATACATGTGTATTTATAGCTCTACCTATATACTGATATCTCTAGATAGATATTTATTTAGATACATAGAGGTAAACATTGAATACTTTCACTTTGTCACCATGGATGGTTCCAAGCAGAGTTTTCAGTCTATCACAAGGATGCGAATGGAAGAAGTAAAAGGAATCAAGAGCATTATTCTTTCATACACTGCAAGGAATTTCCAAAGGTGCATTCTAAACAAATTCAAGGAAAGCCTTTGCAAAGTACATGCTGACATACATGGATAGATACACTGTATGTTGTGTTAATTCAGTAATCTGCTTTCATCGCTGCTCTAGCTGCTGTGATCTTAGGTAAGTTCAGAGTTCTAGTGATGAAAAGTTATTCAAGTTTTAATGTGTTTCTATTACCAGTTTTTTCACAATGTTTTGTTTTTAGAGCAGAGTAACAAAGTGTTTTGCAAGGATCAGTGAGAGCAGAGAGTGGTGGGTGAAAACTTTCAAACCAACAATCAGGGTTAACCATCACATTGATTTAATCACCTGTGGCCAACGATTAAACCAGTCATGGCAGTAAGATCACCTCTTTAAAAATCACAAAAAGTAAAGTTCAGAGATCTTCCAAGTGTTGAACACTTTGAGGTGGTGCCCCCAAGAGGGAGAAGAAGGAAGTGTCACATTCTTCCACTTGGTGTTCTGGAGTGGTTACCCTTTACAAAAACTGGTGACCTAGGCAGTAAACTGTGTTCTTTGAGCCATCCTACAAATTATCAGATCTGAGGAAGGAGTTGTAGGAACCTCTGATTTACAGTCAAGTCAGACAGAATTTGTGGGAAACCTAGAAACCCACCAGACAGGACTGGTGTCTGAAGCAGAGTCAGTCTTTTGATCCTGAGCTTTTCAACTGGAAAGTCTGTATTATCTCTAGGTAGGTAGCATCAGACTTGAATTAAATTGTAGGACACAGTCCTGTTACCTATAGGAAACTATAGAATTGTTTAGTGTGCAGAAAATCAAAATCTGGTGCCAAAGTAGCTAACATATTAGGACAGTAAGAGTTAACAAGAGTTTTTCTTCTAGCTCTGAGCTAATGAAGCCAATCCTCAGTTTGATTTTTTAAGACAAGTTGGATACTTGTCACAGTTTAGATCTCAGGTGTCTCCCAAAAAATTCACCCAGAAGTGGGGGTTTGAGAAGTAACTGACCAGGTGATCTCTAACCTAATCATTGCATTAATCTATTGATGAGATCATAATTTAATGGCAATGCTGGGAAGTGGTGGAAACGGGAGATGAGGATGACTTGAAGGGAGCGGACACTACAGGCATGACAGTGGCATGGTATCTGGTTCCTGCCTCTCCTCTGGCTTTTCCATCTCTCTCTTCTGAGCTGCCATGGTGTGAGCAGCTTTCCTCTTCAATGTCCTTCTGCCAAGGTGCTTCTGCCTCCCTGCATCCCTAGAAGCAATGGAGCCATGTGACGTGGACTGAGACCTCTGGGACCAGGAACCAAGATAAATCTTTGAGTTGTTTATGTCAGGTATTTTGTCAAAACAAGAAAAGGCTGACTAACCACAGTACTACTACATTGTGTTTCATAGCTACAAGATGATCCACTCCAGCCTTCTGTCCTATAAGCCATTGTAAGATACATGAAGGAGGTATTCCAGAAAAACAATTCCTCACCTCTGCACAGCCTAAAAACTCACACTGACTAATGGCATCTGGTTTTATGAACCCAAGGAAGCATTGGGCTTGCTGCCAAGAGCGAGACGACCATGGAACCAGAGTCTGCAGTCCCAGAGATGCCTTTCCTCTCAGGCTTCTGGCTTCCTTGTATGTTAGATAAGGAATCCACAGAGTGCCCTTCCATTCTAACTGGTCATCTCACAGGTTGCATTCATGTTCACATTTGCAATAATCCCCTACCCCACCATGAGCGCTTCTTATCTAAAAACATAACTATATCTTCCCAGAAGGCCCTTTCTCTATGTGAGCAATTTCAATGAAATATCTTGAAACATCGTTTCATCTTCTTGACTATTGGAACTACAAAAATCTTTGGCAAGAAAATCCAGCCCTTTCATTTGAAAAATGAAACACTGAAGCTTAGTAATTTTGTGCCTTGCTTGAGGTCACAGCAGCAGTTCAACAAGGAGCTGTGCCCGGGGCTCCCAGCTCCTTGTCCAGTGCGTTCTCCAGTTACACCTGACCCTGGCTTCACACATGAAAGCCCAAGTGAAAGCTCTGCAAATCACTTTTAACTTTAGATGGCAGCTCTTAATTGATATGCCACAGCCAGAAAAAGATAAGCATTTTTAAGAAGTCAGAACAACTGTAACAGCAGTCCCCTTCCCCACTTTAGCTATTTAAGGCAAATTACGTCAGTTGGCTGTGTGCCTGATAGGAAAAGGTACCCATTTCCGGCATCAGCTGAGAATTGCCTGTTGGGCTGAGACACTTATAAGCCCATAGTCTTTCCCTAGGAAAATGCATTGTGTGTGTCATTAAGGCTATTTTTAGCCTTGCTGCCTTGAATTGAATGTAAACCAGCACTGGTGATACTGAATTTAAGTGTGATTTCAGGGAAGGACGGAGAAAGCATAGCATTTTTAGGATTTAGATCATGGCAACATGCTTTCAAAGGCAGTGATAAATCCATAGACTTTTTTGAGACTTTCTAGAAGTCCTTTGAATAATAAATGAAATATTACCTTTCCACTCATCAGTTGATGTTATGTTAAGGAGAAATAATACTGCTGGAAACATGCACTGATTGTCATTTCACATACCATGCAATACTGCTGGGTATATGTCTGTCCAAAAACCTGTGGCCCTCTTGGAAGGTGGTGGGAGGTGTAAGAGGTGGGGAGGGAGGGCGGTCATGGCACCAGCACTGAATTCTCAAGGCTGTTACCCAACTGTGCTCAGCACTTTTTGTTTAAGGATTCAGGAGAGCATTATGTATGTTTCCACGGAATTTTTTTTTTTTTGAGACACTCTCTACACTATGAGTTCAAGCTGACCGTGAGCTGAATTTGTAGCCCAGGTTGGCCTGGAACTGGCAACGATTCTCTCACCTCAACTACCCAAGTGCAGAAATTACAGATGTGCACCACCATGCCTGGCCCACCAAAACACAAAATGTATTTGTTAACAGCAGTCAAGACCAATTATCTATAAATCTCATTTCCAAAGCACCTAAATGAAATCTTGTCTACCTCAAGCTTGGCTATACACTATCTTTAGAACTTGCATTATTATTTTATTTTATTGGCACAAAGAATTGAAGCCAGTGTCTTCACACTGAGATACATCCCTAGCCTTTTTTATTTTTTATTTTCTTGAGACAGGGTATTGCTAAATTGCCCAGGCTAGGTTCAGACTTAGAATCTTCTTGGCTCTGCCTTGCAGAGCACTGAGATTACAGGTGTGCACACCATGCCTTGCTTTTTCTTTTCTTTTTGTTTCTTCTGAGTTCTGGGGATCAAACCCACAGCCTTGCATTCTACCAACAAATTACACCCCAACCCCAAAAATCTGATGCTCAGTCCTCTTGCCTACAGATTGATTTAGTGTTTGAGGTGAGTTCATATTAAAGGTATCTTGCTTGCTGATTTATCCGTTCCACATCCAGAACCTGCTTTCAGGGCTCATACCTTGTGAATTCATTCACTCCTTTCATTACTCAAAAAAAAAAAAAAAAAAGAAAACATGCTGGTGGGCATTAACAGTAGGGAATTATACAGTAGGCAGAGATTCAAAGATAAACATGTAGCCAAGAATGGCAATGCAGTCCTGTAACCCCAGCAACTTGGAGACTTGGGTGGGAGAATCACAAGTTGAAGGCCAGCATGGGCAAATTAGTGAGACCCCATCTCAAAGTAAATGATGATGATGATGATAGCTAGGGTTGTACCTCAGTGATACAGTGCCCCTGGGTCCAATTCCCAGGACAGCCAAAAAGAAACAGAAGACAAGAACATATAAAACTTTGCATCTCAAGAAAAAGACAGTCTTGCAGCAGAGAGAGATATACAAACAACTGCAATGCACTCTAAGTACTGTAGTTCTTAACTACAGAACTAAGAACTAATGGAAAAGCTACAAGGAAGGGACTAATCCACAGTGCCTATAGAAGGATTGCGAGACCTCAGCAGCAGAAGGGAGCAATGGCCACCTGTAAAGAAGCCACACTGACTCCATTTTGTCCTGCACACATCTGGTTGATGGCGTTTTGGTAGAAGGTGCAGACCTTCAAACATTCCCCCACCAAGGTAAAAACAGGAGGTCCTGTAAGGACAAGCAGCAAACAAATTACTTAACCTAAGTATGCGCAATATGTTTCTTTGTTCTTTATTTCAATAACGGCTGCTGGTTTACACTGGCATGACCATCCCTTCCCTCAATCCAAAGGATCTCAGCAGCTGGCTGGAGCATATAAGCTACTGCTCTCCACACTTACAGTACCTCAGTGGGCTGCCATCAACTACCTTTAGAAGCCATTTTAGGGACAGCTCAACTGATCTGAGACTCTGAGCAGCTGCAGGTTGGCTTCATCTCAGTCCTCGTAGTGTTGAAATCCCACAGTGGCTGGGTGAGGGACAAATGCAGGAGGTGTCCAGGGTCAGGGAGCCGAAGTCAGCCTGGTGAGACACATCCAGTGTGTCCTGGGCTGAACAGTTCAGTCAGCTCCACAGCCAGAGGCCGGGATCAGCCTAACCTTCTGTGGAGTTGAAAACACCAGAATCAGCACTCAGCCCTGATCCTATTGATATAGGGAATGAAATTCCCAGCCCACTATGTCCAGTGTGAGTTCATGTCCTCTAAAATCAAAGAATGCATTTTAGGAACCACAGAGGTTAAGAGTAGAATACATTTATTGAGAGAAAACAAGCTTCTGTCTGAGAGAGAGACAAAAGCGGGTTGCCAGGGACTCTATATTTTCAGGACGGTTCGAGGAAATCATGGCATACAAAGGGTTTAACATGGGGAAACTGGGTACTCACAAGGCAGATGGGCATAAGGTGGTACAAAACTAAGGCTAACCAATAAGATTAATAGTTCAGGTAAAATTGATTAAACTGGGGACAAAACGGGAAGGGAATCACTTAGAATGCAGGAATTCTTAGAGAGCAGTGAATCTTCCCTAAAGGTTTGGAATGTCACTCCTTACTTCCTCAGCGTGCTGGGGAACTCTTTAGAACTTCACTCCTTAGGATATGGATGTATTTGTATGGTCTTTTATCTTGAGGCTTGGCCCACAGCAGCAGGTGCTTGTCTTCCCCTTAGTTGCAAGGTATCTGAGCTTCTGCACTGGCTCCTTTGAGGACCTAGCCCTGTCTCACTTCCTGTAGTATTTCTAACTAACTCAGCTGCTTATAACAGTCCCCTCTCTGAAGAAGTAACAAGAACTGCCATGAGGGCGTCATGGGTGATGACCGATCTGGCTTCTTCAGGCTGAAGAGGGTTGTAGTGGTGACCAGCAGTCAGAGATACTTCTGCAGAGATCCTGTCTAGAGGCCCTCAATAGATACCAGGCATTTTCATCATGGGTAAGCATACAGCTCTAAGTCTGGAGGAGACAAAGACAAAGAAACAGTTGAGTATGTATGGGCCAAAGAATAAAACCAGTAGAACAATTATGAGTATAGGTAACAAAGATTTCCACCAATAGGAACTAGTAATAGATTTCCATAAGAAGGAGAAAGACAAGGTCCAGGAGTCTTAAGAACCTTACATATTGTTAACTTGGTATCTAATGTCTTGAATAGCTACTGAGATATTAGCAGAAGAGTCAGGAGTATATATACACAGCATTCAGTTTTTACAATGGCACAAATGCTGTTAGAATGTCTAATGTCATCTGAGTTTGAAGGACAGCCTGCCTCATTATTTTTTTTTCCTTATTTAAGAGGGACCAGCAGCAGTGTCATTTAAGGCCCACTCGGTATAGTTAGTCAAGGCCTCAGTACATTGCATGATGTCTTCTAATCCTAGGGAAGGGATAAACACAGAGGCCAAATGATCATACCAGTGGAACACACTTCTGTACCTTCGATGTTGTACGTGGGTAAATTTGCCGGTTTTTCGACATTTTTGATACTCCTGCCTTGTAACCATGCAAATCCTAGTGTGCATCTGCCTATCCATCTAGAGCCCAGGCAGGGCCACAGATAGGCTCCACAAGACCAATGAGTGCCATTCGGGGCTCCCCATTTGATTCCAGGGCCATTAAACCAGTCTGTTGCAAACCAGTCATTAGCCTGAAAAGTTACTTGTGTGTCCACATTGTTCAAGGGCTGTCCACCCCAGGTGGGTAGTGGCATTAGGCCAACCAGAATAAAAGTGGTGTTTTTGTTCCCAACATAAGGGGGATTTTCTACTGAGATATCCTATGGTGGGAGTTAATCATAGATACTCATCCCATATTTGAAAATAGCCATATTGATATGTATGGTTGTTGGCCCTTAGGATAGGACCTTTCTTTTTATCTACCAGGGGCCTTACAGGCCTGTAGAGAGGCTCCAGTGGCATTATAAGAAAAAAATCTGATTATGTCCAGGATCATTAGCAATGTAATTTACAGGATCATTAAGAATATAATATTCAGAGGCCATTTTATTACTATGCAATTGTGGGCTGAACTATGAATACTGAACTTCTTTGTTATCTCATTACTATAGTCCTGTAATTTATTCCAATCACATCCTTGAAGTGGAGACACCCACCAAGGAAGTCCTGATGTACTGGACAAGGGCAGTGAGCCACATATCCTGCAAGAGGTGTGTTGTAATGATTTTGCATATGCTTGTGCCCACATTAAAAAGGAGTTGCATCCTCCTTTCAGTGGTGAAGGGAACAGTAAAAGGGCTAATAGTAGCCTTACTTACCTGAAGTCTTTGTTTTCTCCTTGAAGAGGAATCTTAGGTCTTCTGTGCGTTCACAGGAGTATGTGGGTGGTTGTTCACATCCAGTGATAGTCTCAGGTTTCCAGGGTTTGTGTCAGGTGTGATGCATCCGAGTGTCCAGGCCTCTTGTCTTCAGCATGGAAGAAGTCGACAGGATCACAGTGTAAGGTCCTTCCCAATGGCTGATGAGGGAGGGGATTTTACCAGCACTAAATCTCCAGGGTGGAAGATAGGTTTTCCTTTCTCTGTAGGCTGAGCTTCTGTAAGCTCTTGAAGAGTTTGCTGGAATTTAGCCAATGAGGTGATGTCTTTTTTTAAGGCATCTGTTTCTCTGACAAAGAGAAAATCATCAGTGAGGAAAGGGCATCCATAAGGCATTTCAAGCGGACTGAGGCCTAGGTTTTGAGGTGTATTTGTTATTTTGCTAAGAGGTAAAGGTAGGATGAATCTGAACCCTGGTGGGGCCTTGGGCTGAGAGGGCAGTCTGACATCCAGTGGTCACCTCTGCAGTCAGGGCATGGCCCAGGGGGCTTTTGAGTGCAGTCCCTCTTAAGGTCACCTGGCTTGTGGCAGTGATGGCAGGTGAATGTCATTGTTGAGCTCTTCTTGGAGACCTGAGAATCAGACTTAGGGTCTGTTTCTCTTAATGCTGCGCAAAAGCAGCTGCTTTTTCTCAGTCTCTTTGTTTTCTCTCTTTGACCTCCCTCTCATCACAGTTATAAAATACTGAGGAGGCAACTTTTACTAAAGTATCAAGTGAGCTGGGGGTTTAGCTCAGTAGCAAAATCACTTGCCTGTCAAATGTGTGTTGTGTTTGATCCACAAACTCCAACACACACAAAATGAATGAATAAATAAAGTATCAAGTGGACTATCTGGAGGAAAAGCCATCTTTTGTAGCTTTTTTCTAATAGCTGAGGCTGACTGTGTAATAAACTTATCTTTAAGGATAATTTGTCCCTCTATTGAATCAGAATCTAAAGAAGTATGCTTTATCAATGCCTCTCATAATCCATCTAAGGAGGCAGAAAATTGTTCCTTCTTTTCTTATTGAATAACTGATAACTTAAAATAATTGAATGGTTTAGTTTTCACTCTTCTTCAGCCTTCAAGAACACATGTCTGGAAATGATTTCTAATCCAATCACTCACCTGGTTGTGGGCCCAGTAAGAGTCTTGCATAGGGACTGTTTGTGATCCAGTGGGAACACAGCTTTTGCAAACTCCAACTGCACTGTGTCGCTGGTCCAGAACAAAATAAATCAGTGCTGCTTTTTTAAAATAAAAACATGTCTTGCCCATTTTTGAACTCAAGTTTGGGCTTTGGGGGCTCGTTTGTGGATTACAAGATTTAATGGCATATTTTTATTATTTTATTCTTGCACAAGTTAAATTTAAACTAGTTGCTAAAGTTATTTCCCTTTATCTTCTGGCCTTCTAAAATTGACCATATGGTATTCATATCCAAAGGCAATAGCAGCCTGTAATGCTGCGTGTCTCTCACTAGAAATGAATGTCTGATTTAAGAGTAACACTACATCTTTCCAATCTACTTAATATGCCTGAGTAAGTCCTCTAAGGACCTGAATGTACTTGGCAGGCTCATCTGAAAATTTCCCAAGATCTAATTTTATTTGTTTTAGGTCACCAAGAGAGAAAGGTACATGAATTCTGGAAGTTCCAGATCATCCATGTACTCCCTGCAAAGGATACTGCCCTTGAGGAGCTTGCTTAAACTCAGCTAAGGATGGGTATAGTCCTGGAAAGGCCTGGATTACAGCTGGCCTAGACGCTTTATCCTTAAGGCTGGAAGGGCAGGTGGGGGAAACCTTAGGTTCAGTAAAAGTGGGGGAGGATTTGATTAAGGCTATTTTGTCCTCAGGTTCTAAAGGTTCAGGAGGTGCAATTTTTGGCTCTTGGGTAGAAGATGCCTTAAGAGCCCAAGGTGCTGAGTTTTCCTGTTACTCACATTTACATTTAGAATATAAATAAGAAATATTTCCCAATGCATAGAAAGTCTGAATGTAGGACAGCACTGACCTTTTCCCCTCCTTTTCGTTGTATGTCTCTAGTTGTAAAAGAGGATCATAATTAATACTTACCTCTGTATTCCACTAAGGCTCTTGGGGGTAGGTAGGCCACACACTCATGCAGAGAAATACCAATTGGATCTTTTTCAACATGGAAGGCTCGAACATCTAGTGCCTAAGAATGTGTTCCAAAGGAGAATGGGCTTTGACATTTTGTTGTCCATGTCTATAATGTAAAAGCAAGGCATAAGTATGAAACCTTTTCTGTACCCAGGCATTGAACTAAGGACCATTTGATGAGCTATGAGAGATATTGAGCTATCTAGTTATACATAAAATGAGTTAAAATAAGGTGTCCTTTTTTTTCCCTGTTTGATAGATGTTCCCCACGTGTCTCTTGGGTTGAAACTGCTCCAGGGCAGGTGAATGCCTTCTGGAGAGAATGGACCATAGTTTCTGTCAGCCTATCCACCCTGGAACTGGCACATAATCCTATATTCCCAGATAGCTCATGAGCTTTGTTTCCATAAAGAATGTTTAGCGAAGGAAGCATGACTTTGTAAACATGTATTATAAGGGAGCATACATTAAAAGGTGAATTGGTGGTAGAGTACTTTTCAGGTTTTTTAGAGTAACTCTCCTCTAGAGATAGATAGAACAACTGACTGGAGGAGCATTACTCCTTAATCTGGGCAAAAGAGTCTCCAGACATTTGTCTCTCACTTAATTATCTAGGTAACTTTTCTTAGTAACAGGACAAGGCTATACTTCATTTAAATTTCTGTATCTTTGAAGCTCACAGGTTAAATTTATAAATTATCATCTAGCAGTCACATTTTAAGTTAGAAAGAGGCACATCAGTCTTCTAGTCACACAGAAAATCCTAGTTACTTTTTTTTAAAATTTTATTTAAGGAGAAAAGAGAAAAAAACAGTGAAAGGGTACAAGTTATACAGATTTACAGAAAAAAATGAACAGTAGGAAATCACTAGTTAATGGATTACATATTGCCATCTTAGAAATAATTGTTCAAGTCACAAAATTAAAGCTTGTAGAGTGGACATTCCAACAATGATACTGCAAACAGTTCTGTTCAATGATTTAAAACTCTGTGATATCATTTTCTAACTTATACACTTAAATATACATGCAGTTATATAGTTTAGAGCACTTTCTTTTCCTCTCTTTTGTACAATGACTATTACACATTTTGGGTTTCATTGCTCCCACGGTTCTTATTGCTTTTTTGGAAGAGAGTAAAACCAAATGTGACATAACAGAACAGAATCGGTCAAGTCAAAAGGGTGGACATAATAGATAATGTAAAAACATAATACACGGTGATCAACAGTGGTTACCATAATGCCTCCAGCTATCTCTAATTGAATTGCCTATATCATTAGTTATAATACAATTGAACAAAACAGTAAAGAACAAAACTGACAAAAGCAAACCATTGGAGACTTTGTAGGTCTTCAAAAGTAGATAAAAGTCAACGAGAATGGGCGTCATAATGAATCTCATTATCTTCACAGCTGATGCCTAAACTTTCGAACCTGATACTATCCAGCAAAACAGAATAGGGGAACATCAGTCAAAAACAAGATGGTGAGAGTAATACAAGGCTTCAAATCGAGATAATAGAAAGTCAAAGTGGGTTACTATAATATATCCTGCTATTTTTTCCCTTTAATTAAATGGATAAAAATAAAAGAGTAAATAATGGAGTGGAGATTGGGATAAAAAAGGGCATAACAGCAAAACAGCGCAGATCAAAACATAAACATTTAAGCAGAATAGTGTTTCACCACCAGATAATTCCAACCCAAAAGTAATTACCATATTGAATCTTTCCTTTAAGTCCTTGAGTACAACTTCGTATACGGTAGCATTAAGTTTATCAAAACAATGTAAAACCGGGGCTGGGGATTTAGCTCAGCGGCATAAGCACCTGCCTTGTAAGCAGGCAGTCGTGAGTTCGATCCCTGGTACCGATAAAAAGGAAAAAGTCAAAAAAAAAATGTAAAACCATTTAAGAGAATGACAGCATTACAGAATATTTAGAATCGACTAACAGAAAATGAACAATGGTTTCTGTATAATCTTCTTGTCTTTAAAAGGTTTTTGCTTATACTATCGTACATAATAAACTCCAATAAGATACAACATATTTAGACCATTGGAGACAGAAGAACAAAAGCTAGATGAGACTTCAAAACAAGATGATACTAAATCAGTATTACCTATTAAGATGTCATTTTCTCCAAAATAGCTGTTCCTATCATCCAATCTTCTCTGTCTCATTTCTGTTGAGCTCTTTTGCTGTCAGTAGCTGTCAGTTTTTCTTCTTCATTTTGTTCTCTGCTCCATTCGTTGTGGCCTCCCCACCACTATTTCTGGGTTCTTTGTATTTTTTTTTTTTTTAGAATATCCTGCAATACTTTCTATAGAGTTGAATTGGTGGTTGCAAATTCCCCCAGTTCCTCTTTATCCTGGAAGCACCTTGTTTTTCCATCAATTTCCAGGGACAGTTGTGCAGGATATCTCAATATCTTGGCTGGAGATTATTATCTTTCAAAGTTTGAATTGTTTCCCCCCACGCTCTTCATGATTTGATGGTTTGTGCAGAGAAATGTGCTGTAATTCTGATGGGTGTTCCCTTGTAAGTGGTCTGTTTCTTGTCTCTGACAGGTTTTAATATTCTGTTCTTGTATTGAATTTCTGGAATTTTTATTATATGCCTGGTGTTGCTCTGTTTGGGTTGTAGGTAGCTGGGGTCCTGTATGCCTCATACATCTGAGTATCTTTACCTTTTGCTAAATTAGGAAAATTCTCCTGGATTATTTCTGTGAGTAGCTTTTGTAGTTCACTTGTTTGTGTCCCTACTTCTTCTTTTATGTTCTTAATCCTTAAGTTATGGATCCTCTTATCGTCTTCTTGTCTTTGTATTATTGCTGTTTGTTTCTTTGTTATTTTTAAGAAGTTTTTCATTTCATTCTCTCATATTACAAGCATGCCCTCAGATAGTCTGTCCTTAGTTTCCTTCAAGCTGTTATGCCAGTCTTGGATAGACTTCTTAGTTTCTTGATAGTCCCTTTGAACCTGCTTCACATACTCTATGCTCTGTTTTCTCCATCAAGCAATTCTCCCCTCTTTTTCTGTTCTTCCATTCCACCATCTGTTTTTTCCAGGGTGGTGCTTAGCATTTCTCTAACTATTCTGCATACTTCTAGCTTCAGGTCATTGATAACTTCATTCCTGAATTGGTCTATGAGGCTCTCTATATGGCGCTTTATGTCTATTGGTGCGGTGTCCGCTATTGCCTGTTTCTCAGAATTGGGGGCCAAGGAGCCTTTCTTGTTGCTGCCTTTTCCCATATTCTCTGTTCCTTATATATGCAAGTTTACACAGGAGGCCCAGCTTCCCTCCCTGTCAGCCACAGCCTGATGGAATTGCGCTGACTAGGTGTTCCCGCCCACCGCAGCGCACCAGGGAGTTACGGACTAGGCAGCCTACGTGGGAGTCGCCCCTCCGGGCCACCGTCAGGCTCTGGGATCTGGGTTGGGCCAGCCTACCTAGTCCACCAGCAGCGTCACGCAGGCCAGGCACTTTTCACCAATCCCGTCCGAGAGGGGAATGTGTGGCTGGAGTCGCCACCGCGCCCTGCTCCCGCAGGACTGCCCGGGCCCAGAAAGTCCTCCACTGGAGTCAAACTGTGGTAGAGTGTCAGTTTCTCTCACTCACCTCACCACAAGTCAGTGTACGCCTCCCTGGCCATCCTGTTTTCGACTCCGTTCACAGACTCCCGTTCTCAGAGCTTCTGAGCGTCTCTCTCCTTGCCGAGCCGATGTAGAGGCAGCCAGCCGCAGCGCGCCAGGAAACCCAAATCATGGCTTCCTTTGGCGCGGGGTCTAGACTCCACACCGAGGCTTTTCTGTTCCTGTTTTAGCACCAGGACTGCATTCCAAGTTGGTTTCTCTCAGCCCAGTACGTTCCTGAGTCAGCAGAGCATATCTCTACCGGCTTATGTCTCCTTAGTCCGCACCATTCCTGACTTCTGAACCAAGCCTTTCAGAGAGCCTCCGTAGTATCTGCTATCTGTCCACCATGTTGTCCCGGAAGTCCTACTTTTTAAAAAATTTTATTTAAAGACAAAAGAAAAAACTTTTATTTAAAGAGAAAAGAAAAAACAGAAAAAGAGTACAAGTAATACAGAATTTCAAAAAAATAGAAATCACTAGTTAATAGATTACATATTGTCATCTTAGAAATAATTGTTCAAGTCTATTTAGTTTTAATTAACATAGGTAAATCATTTCCCTACTAGCTGCTATGGAATGTAAGCAATCATTGCAAGCTACCTCAGTATAATCTCTGAAGGGATGGGTAGTCTAAGTGATCTAAAGATCTCTTGAAAAGTTTAGAATGTTTTTAGTCTACTAGCAGAGAAATAAGGATAATAGAAAAGGGGAGATTTTAAGTGGTCATGAGCAAATGTCCTTTGAGGAAATGTTGGGTGCCAACCAGGGTGTTGCTCTGGCCAGGAACCCTCAGTTCTCAGTTTCTATTGCCTCAGATAACCAGAAATCAGTCTCCAAAAAGGAATCCAGCTGCCTGTCTGGTCAACATTCTGTTGAATCCATTGGCCACTGGCTTCAATGGGGATTCACCTAACAGATGCTGGGGAAAGCTAGCCTCTGATTTTGAGGGTGGCAGTTGCTGTAAGGATGATTAGCTGGCACAGTGACCACTGTGTGTCAAAATTCTATAAGCGATAATTAACAGACTGCAAGATCATTACCTACACATTTATCAATTTATAATAAAGGTTTTTAAGTCCATAATTTGAGAGGTTGGAAAGCCTCCTTATTCTAAATAGGTTTAGGTCCCCTATGTGTGCTGCTTTTAAGGATAGCTGCTTCCATTGCCACATGGAAACTGGTTCTCCCCACTGTGTCTCGGGTTTAATTTCCAAAGGAGATTTGCCCAGAACACTGAGCTGGGACACGGCTCTCATGTGTATTCTCCTGAATAGGCACAATTCTGATGTCTCATCTGACCCAGAGATGGGGTATGTGTCCCTCATCTAAGATGACTTCCCTGTTCTTGGCATTAGCAAATGCTCATTTTCTATGGGCTTAACTCAAAAGGAAAAGGTTGGAATAATCTAGAGTTTTTCCCACTTTTATATGCCTTTATTAGGAAAATGTAAAGTGGCAAGAGAGTAAGAGATAAAGTGAAACAAAGGAAACAGAACAGGCTTGACATTCCTCTGGAGTATAAAGGAGGAGCAGAGCCAGTCTCTCTCAATGAAACCTGCGCTCCAAATCCAGAAGCATGGCCACCAGCCTAGTGCTTCTTAAATGGTGGAACGAGTCCCATGTTTTATTGCAGGCATGTATGTTTTCTAAGTCTGAACTAGATTTCATTTAAGAAAACCATTTAATAGAAATTTATATTAAAGACTATTCAGGGTGTTCTATTATTATCTGTGGTGCTATTGTCTAAATATAGTTAAGCAAGGAATACCAGTAACTTTAGCAACTAATATAACATGTGAAAGAATAAAATAATAAAAATATGCCATTAAATCTTGTAATCCACAAACAAGCCCCCCAAAGCCTAAACTCGAGTTCAAAAATGGGCAAGACATGTTTTTATTTTCAAAAAGCAGCGCTGATTTATTTTATCCTGGGCCCTGTAACACAGTGCAGTTGGAATTTGCAAAAGCTGTGTGTCCTCCTTAAAGCTTTCTAGCCTCTTGTAGAGAGCAGAGTTTACAAAGTAAAGGGGTTATGGGGGTGGATCAGGAAATCTGCTAAGGAAATGTTTTCCTTAGCAGAGGACAGAGTAGTCTAGCATTAGTTAATTCTTTGTCAGCTGATTTTAGCACCACATCTGTTATTAGTAGAGGGCAACGATGTTTAACATATCAATTAGGTTAGGTTCCCCGGGATTTACAATTTTTTACAGACGGGAGCATTGATTAACATATCAGTTAGGTCACCCAGAGGGGGGAAAATGCATACAAAACAGTAGGTGGCGTTACAGGTACTTTGGCATAATACAAACGTAACAGAGCTCTTTTTCCTAGTGTACAGCATTCCCCACTGATTTTAGTCAGTGCACCAAATCATTGGCTCATGAGGTTTTCAGACATAAGTATCTGTTTATAACCTTGCATCTTTAAAATCGTAAGCTGTATAGTTTGAACCTGATCTTTGACATACTTTTCCAATCTGAGTATAATACAAGGCCCAATAGGAAGATTAACAAATTTCTTGCAGCTGTCATTATTAAAGCTGTTAACCAAAAGGAGAAAGAAAACCAACATTTAAATTCACTGTTTTGTCACATAATTAACAATTTTTTAAAAAGCCAGATAGAGGTTTCCTTGGGGTTTCTATAAGGGAGAACACAAGATTATTAGTTACATTTGGCAGTCTTGAGCTTTAAAGAGTCCTTGGAGGGAATGACAGTCCACTTATCTCTAGGTTGATCGCCTTTGGAAGCCAGGACCTGCTTGAAGTGGGAATGATGCATCGAGGCAGGCTTTCTGGCTACTTTGATAGCAGTTGGAGTGCTGAGGACTACAATGTAGGGACCTTTTCAATGGCTCAAGAGATCCATGGTGAAGCCTCTTGATGAGCACAGGTGACCCAGGCTCTACAGCAGGGTGTTTGTTCTCTCAGTGGGCTGCAGGTGGAGGATGTTGTTGTCAAAATAACCAGTGGGTGGAAGTCAGAACTGGCTAAAGAGTTTGGGGAGACTTAATAAGATCTTGATTAGCTAAATCAGCAAATTTTTCCTCAAAAATCTTAGGTATAAGAGGAGTTCTCTCATATAAAGCCTCAAAAGGGGAAATACCAGTAACATAGAGGGTACACTGTGCATACAAGAGGTCAAAAAAGGAAGGAGACTCCCCAGTTCTCACCAGTTTCTAAGGCCACTAGTAATTACCATCTTTAATGTCTGGTTTATCTTTTCTACTTGTCTTCAACTTTGGAGGCAGTAAGCACAATGGAGTTTCCAATTGATCTGCAAGACTTTGGTTAGTTTTTGAGTTATCTGGGCCATAAAAACCGGCCCATTGTAAGGCCCCATTGATAAGGGGAGGCCAAATTGTGGGACAACCTCATATAAGAGTTTTTTGACTACTATCAGAGCTGACTCAGATTTTGTAGAAAAAGCTTTTACCCATCCAGTGAAAGTATCAACCATTATAAGTGAATACTCATATCATTGAAGTCCAGGCTTCCCCACTTCTGTAAAGTCTACCTTCCAGTGTTCTCTAGGAATAGTCCCACTTAGTGAGTGGCTGCTTTGGGTTCACCAAATGGCACTGAGGGCATCTGAGACTCACAGACTGGGCAAGCTTTGATATTAGCCCCCAAATGCAAGTCTTTTCAAGTGCAAATAGGCTCTGACAAAGTAGGTGGGAATGCAGTGATGTCAGGGCTATCTCAAATCCCCACTGATTCTACAGCTGCCTTTTGGGTGGTGGCATCTGCCAAATTATTTCCTCATATAACAAGGCCATCTCCTGCTCAATGGGCTCTATAGTGGATAATAGCCACTCTTCCTGGCATCCAGATGGCAGCCAACAAGTCCAAAATTTGGGAAACATTTTTAATCTTTTGGCCCCAGAAGCCAATAAGCACCATTCTTGATAAATGGTCCCACGAACATGGGCAGTAACAAATGCATACTGACAACTTGAGGTCTCAGTGAGGGCAATGAGTTCAGCCTGTTGGGCCAATGTTTTTGGCTCCAGGCTTGGTTCCCATAGAATCTGAGAGTCTGTAGTAATGGCAGCTCCCACAACCCACTTACCTGGATAAATGTAATTGCTTCCATCGGAGAAATACAAAGGAACTCTGAATAGTGGCTCATCTGTCAAGTCTGGTCCCCAATACAGATGTGGAAGGGCAAGGAGGGGCATCATCAGGCAGCAGAGTGGCAGGGTTTGAAGCCGCTGTCCCCTTGAAACTGATGGTAGTCAGATCTAGAAGTAATGCTTGATAATGCATGACTTGGGAGTTGGGCAGCCATTGGTCCGGCGGAGCTTTGATGAGAGTCTCCAGCGAATAGGAGGAGACAAAATAAGAGTTTTGGTCCACAAGTCAGTTTTTGTGTCTCCTCTATCAGGATGACTACCGAGGAAAACACCCACAGACAAGGTGGCCATCTGGCTGCCACATAATCAAGTCTCTTGGAAAGATAGGCAACAGGCCTCTGCCAGGGTCCCAAACTCTGCGTCAGTCCTATGGCTCCTAGAAATTTTTCCACCCAGTTTTTAGTCACAGGGACTGGAATCTGTTGGATGGCTTGCATCTGCTGGGAGGAAAGAGTCATTTATTTTTATTTTTTTATGGAAAGTCCAACAACCAATGCAGTTTTTCTGCCCAGCAGAAACCTCTTAAGCCTGGTCTTTAGGGTCCTCCCGGTTGTCAAATATCTTTTAAGCAACCTCTGATAACTGACTGAAGGGCATTTCCTCAAATCTCTCAAACTTTTGCAATTTTTGCTTAATATCAGTGGCCGACTGGGTTACAAAGGCAATATTAATGGCCCTTGCATTTTTAGGCACTACTGGTGTATAAATGTGATAGGCCTTTTGCACTCTTTTCAGAAAACCCCGAGGGAGACTAATAAGTCTCTGTTGAGCCAATTGCCTCACCTCTGCTCTCTTGGGCAAAAGGTAGGTTTTCTGGGGTGCCCTAATGGCTACTGAGAACAACTGGCAATACCCATAAGGAACCTCCTCACCTCTGGTTGTCCAATTGGGGTGGGACAAAAGGAAAACATGGTTTTGGCATTCTGGATCACAGGCAGGTTTTATCTGGATGGCACACTGTTTTTTTTGTTTTTGTTTTTGTTTTTTTGTCCCAGGGTGGGCCATTGCCCACATGGCAGGCCACTGTTTTACTGAAATTACATACTTAACAAAAAAAGGCTTTTTCATAGGTAACAAAAGTAATTGTGCCGCATAATCTCCCAGATATCCACAGCACATGCAAGAACTTGTATTTTATCTCTATAATCACCAGTCACATTAGGCATAATAGTTATTTCTTTTAAATTTAGATCAGCTTATTGTAGTAGAAGACGAATTTTTTTCCTCTGTTTTTTGCAAGCAATCAAAATCTCAACTTTGTCTTTATAATGTATAGCATTCCTGGAAATTCCCCTCCCCCAAACTCACAATATTGCAAATCATCCTGTTGAGCTCTTTGCTCTTGATAGCCATAGCACAAAAAGCATTTTCTCTTTTACATTTTTATTTTAAGACAAAACCACTTTTTAAAATTTATTATCAGTCAATTACTTTTTCTCTTGATTTTTAGGTTTTGTTAAAACCTTTAACAAAATGCTTGAAATGACTTTCTTTTAGTAGTCTAAAACTTATGTAATCATTTTATTTCTTTTCACCACATTAAAATGCTACATTTTAAAAACTAACTTTTTTAACTGGCTCAATTATAGTATGACCTGGTTTTTACTTGCAAAAGTTAATATGATTTTTAAAAACCATAAATATACATATATATGCGCACATATATTCACATTTTAACCGTAAAGAAAAATACCATAAAAAACCATAAAAAAAAACCATAAAAAAAAAAAAAACCAAAAAAAACCATTAAAAAAAAAAAAAAGAAAAAAAGGCATGCAGAGGTTGCAAGTAATCAGTTGAGGATAAAAACATTAAACAAGGTGCCACAAAAGATAATACCAACATTAAAGACATAAATGAAGGTTTTTCTGCCCCCAGTTTGGCAAGCTAAAGGAAATAATTTTTGTTATGAACCTTGAGTCCAATAAGCCACATTGATCCTGCAACAGAAATGGACAACAAGCCCCTAAGTTAGTAAAAAAAAAATTTTATCAGTACCAGGGATTGCTGGGTGAAAACGGGCCCTAAAACACAAACAGGCCCCAACACCCCACATGGGCGTAGGTCCCCCACATAGGCCTATGCCATACCCACAGCCCCAGGTCCCCCACACGGGTCTAGGCCATACACATGGGCCTAGGTCCCCCACACGGGCATAGGCCACACACATTACAAGTAGGCGAGAGCCCCCAGAATCCGGTGCAGAAAAAGCGCGAGCTTGTCTGCAGTCACTGTGCACATTCAAATTACAAATGGGCAAAAACCCCTACACGGGCCGAAGCCCAAAGTTACCAATGGGCCCCAAAAGCCCTAAATTACAAAATGGGCAAAAAGGCCCCTGGAAGTTGTCTCATTTTATCTGCAGTTACAAATGTGCACACTCAGATTACAAACAGGCAAAAAACCAAATACTTACAGATGTTAAGCCAATCGATCGGTGAAAAAATAATTTGGAGGGGTCCCCCAGTACTCCCAGGTGAGCCCCTTAATCTTGTAATCCACAAACAAGCCCTCCAAAGCCCAAACTCGAATTCAAAAATGGGCATACATATTTTTATTTTAAAAAAACAGCGCTGATTTATTTTATCCTAGGCCCACTGACACAGTGCAGGTGGAGCTTGCAAAAGCTGTGTGTCCCCCTTAAAGCTTTCTAGCTCTTTTGTAGAGAGCACAGTTTATAAAAGGGTTATGGGGGTGGATCAGGAAATCTGCTAAGGAAATGTTTTCCTTAGCAGAGGACAGAGTAGCCTAGCAGTAGTTAATAAACCTTTGTCAGGTTATTTTAGTACTACATCTGTTATTTGTAGAGGGCAACAATGGTTAACATATCAATTAGGTTAGGTTCCCAGGGATTTACAATTTTTTACAGAAGGGAGTATTGATTAACATATGAGGTCACCCAGAGGGGGGCGGGGGGGGGTCGCATACAGAACAGTAGGTAGCATTACAGGTACTTTGGCATTATACAAACATAAGGAAGCTCTTTTTGCTAGTATATAGCATTAAAGAAATATCATGACCTTTTAATTTTCCTGTGTTTAAACTTGGATTTATATTACATTTTTGTTTGTTTGTTTGTTTGTTTTTTTGTTTGAGACAGGGTCTCCCTATGCAGTTCAGGCTGGCCTTGAGCTCACTTTGTAGCCCAGGCTGGTCTGGAACTCACAAGGATCCTCCTGCCCTAGCCTCCTGAGTGCTGGGATTCCAGATATGAGCCACCATGCCCAGCTGATTTACATTATTTTAATAAAACTATATGAGACAAAGCACTTTAAAACAACGGGCAAATAGCAAGCAATTATCAAAAGTAACTGGCAAATATAAAAGCAAAGTTGGAGGCATAAAAATTTGTTACCTAAATAAGTCCCACTTGAGAGTCTATGAAGCAAAAGCAAATTCTCACCTCTTTCCAATGATCTCAGTGGAAGACCTCCAAATGATATAGGGGAGTGAAACTCCTGACCTACTATGTCAGGAGGAGCAAAACACAGTTGACAAAGAATGCCCTAAAGGGGCGATACCAGTTTCCCCAGCACTTCTCCAAAGAGGTGCAAAGCTTAATCAAGGGGCTTCTCAACCCTGACCCAAGCATGCGCCCTACCTTAGAGCAAGTAAGGCAGCATCCATGGCTTCAGCTTGAATCTGTCCCTTGTCGTCCTCCTCAACTGCTCCCCAAAGCCACAGAAAGGGCACATTATGGCTGGGAAGGGGTACAACCGGCTGAAGGTGAATTCATGTTCTCTAAAATCAAAGAGTCAATTTTAGGAACAATAGAGGTAAAGAGTAAAATATATTTATTGAGAGAAAGCAAGCTTCTGTCTGAGAGAGACAGAAGGAGTCCCAAGCAGTGGGACTCTGTCTTTCCCAGGGACTTTTATAGAGGAAAATCATGGGATGAGATGGACTTGTGGGCAAAACTGGGAACTCACAAGGCAGATGGGCATAAGGTAGGGCAGAACTATGGTTAACCAATAAGATTAATAGTTCAGGTAAATTCATTAAATTGGGGACAAATGGGGAAGTGAGCCACTTAGAAAGCAGGCATTCTTAGAGAGCAGTGAATCTTCCCTAGGGGGTTGGAATGGTGACTCCTGACTTCCGCGGGGTGCTAAGAAGCTATTTAGAACATCAGTCCTTATGGATGTATTTGTTTGATCTTTTGTCTTGAGGTTTGGCCCACAGCAGGAGGTGCCTGTCTCCCCTTAGCTGCAAGGTATCTGAGCTCCTGCACTGGCTCCTTCCAGGACCTAGCCCTGTCTCCCTGCTATAGTATTTCTAGCTAACTCAAGGGCCCAAAACACTACTGCAGGCTTGCTGGGATCTGACAGCACGCAGCTGGGCTCGGAGTGCCTCCACTGTCTTCTCTGCACTGGACACTGCAATAAGACCACAGACCGCAGAGGCCTGCCACAGGTTTAAAGTCAGAGAACATTTTGTCTTTGTGTTTTGTTTTTCCTGCCTGTGTACATTGTTCTCAGCTTTTGTATTTTTCTCTCTTTTTTGGTCCTGCTTTTTGCTCCTGTTTTATCACTCGTTTTCTAAGACTTGGTGATCTCCCTTTGTACTTCAGTCTTCTTATCTCTATTTTTCTATATTTTCTTGGTATCCCTAATAAATTTTCTCCCTTTAGGGTAAATTGCTCTATTGAGTATATATATTTACTGTATATAATATTCTGCTTTGCCTTAGATTTGGCTGTGTAACTATAAATCTCATACCTGTGGTTAAAGCAGGCATGTTCTTGGTCAAAACAGCTTATCATTTCCTGGCCTGTGCTGGATGCAGTTGTTATTGCAGACTGTACTATTTTAGCCAAAGTGACAGAGTTATTGGCATCAATTGATCTTCTTTGAACAACACCACCTCGGTTGTCTGAGGGGCACAAACAATCCTGTAGTTCTGGACTACAGAACTATAAGAACTGGGTGCTGGGCCAAACAGGCAGCAGCCCTTCATTCCTACCGAACTGAAGAGGCAGAGCTGGGGATGGAGCTCAGTGGCACAGCTCCTGCCTGGCAACCACAAGACCCTGAGTTTGATTCCCAGTACCAAAAAAGAAATTCCATAGTTTCTGGTTTTGAAAAAAGAAAAGGCAAAATCTTGGGAAAATAGACTCCAAAGCCAGCTACCCATATAGAACATCTCTGAAAAAGTAGTCATTTCCTAAAGAGGTCCCAATGCTGGCAATAAGCTACTGACTATAAGCAATTTACAAGCCTCAAGGCACAAAGCAAGTACGAAAATAGAAAGTGAAAGAAAATACAGAAGCAAGATGCATGATGACATGTGTTATGTGCATGTTCCAACTTGCCCTGAACACTCTGGTTCAGATCCTGCCCCAGATGCTGCAAACACAGACCACAGTTTGGAAGTCATCAATGTGTTCTCTTTACCAAATGTCACTGTTCCCACGGTGGCAAGCAACACCCCCATGTGTGGAGATTTCTCTTGCTCCAAACTCTGTCCCCACAACACGCATGCCTGTGTGCCCTCGAGGCTGGATGTTAGTCTCTGTTCAGTGACACAAGACTTGGCAATGTGCTCCTTTCAAAGGCTTGCAGACACAGACTTGGGGACAGCATTCAGAAGGCCAGGGTTTGGGTCCATGTCTCTTCATGGGGATGTGTGGGGGTGATGGTAGATGACCCCTTGCTCTTCCCAGAACACACCCTACTGCCAGGCACAATAAGAATCAAAACCATGAAGTCAGAGAAACAGTGTGAAGTTAGAGGTGTGGAACAGGCCAGAGCGGTTGAGCACTGCTTATGTAGGCAGGGTTTGATCTACTCAGGCTGTTCCTTTGTGCCCCTCCCTCAGACAGCAGGATACAAGCCAGGTGACTCTCCCCCCTGCTCCTCCTGTCTTCCTCTCACTGGCTCTCAGCTCCTGGTGTCTGTGCAGCCTTCCCATGCTGTGCACCAACCCCTCCCTCTGCTTCTCGCCCACAGGATGCACTAGTGATCTTGACTCCTCCTCTCCCCTCCAGCTCCCTACACAAAGGGCTGCAAGGCAACTCACTGTGGCTTCCACTTGTGTGGCTGACCTCGCTGTCAGGATGACCACGTCCATAGGAGGGATCATGGATCTGCACTACAAAGGCAAGGAGACATGTGTAATGCACGCTCACTGGGAAACACAGCAGACAGTGGTGGCTGTGGTCACTCCAGCCTCCTCGGCAGCAGACCCCACTGCAACTCCTCCTACCCACACCTGGCCTCTGCCCACACCTGCCCTTCTCCCTCCCCTCCTCTCCTCCCTACAGTTCTTCCCTGACAGTTGAAAATGATATCGAGACACAGCACATTCTGAGGAAGCAGCCGGACCACTCAGACTCCTTGAGTGACCTCTGGTTCTCTACTGTGCAGTACTTACACTGGGACCACCTTGTGTTTGTGACACTTGCATGTCGATACGGGGCAGCAGCACAGGGCCTGCAGGCAGTCTCTCATGGTTCTCTTGACAGTTTTCCAGCCCCACCTCCTACTGCTGACAGGGGCTGGGGCAGCAGTGACGGCAGCATTTGGAGTCCCAGGGCTGTGCTGGAAGGACTCACCGGGAGAGGCAGGGTTGGGCTGCCAGCATGGCCTAGTAGAGGCACGGAAGATTTTCTTGATGGGAGAAGCAGGGCTTGGTTGATGGGATGCTTTAGGGGTAGCAGGTCCTGGATGGTAGGACTTGATGGGAGAAGCAGGGCTTGGTTGACGGGATGCTTTGGGAGTAGAAGGGCCTGGCTGGCAGGACTTGATGGTAGTAGTATGGCTGGGCTGGCAGGCCTTGGTAGTAGCAGCAGCACAACTTGGTTTGTGGGATGCTATGAGATTAGCAGGGCCTGGCTGGCCAGAGGTACCAACTAAGTTTGGACCGCGCTGGCAGGATGTGCGAGCAGGGGGAGTCCTGCTGATGTCAATTGGCAGGGAGACTGTCTTCCTTTGCTGGCTGAGAGGCTTCACCTCGGGGAGGAAGTGGCCAGTGAAGAGGCAGGGCTCACTCTCCCTCCTAGCTGGTGGGGCAGCTACAGGGGGAGGAGATGAAGATAGCCGATTTTCATCTTTGTTTGTGGGCTGTTCAAACAGATCTTCAGCCTTATGTTTGTGTGTGGGCTTCGCCTCAGATCTGAAGTGGAATTTCCGGTGTGCCATGCCCCGTAGTAGCAGGAAGGGCGCCATGTAAGGGTCGTATTTTCTGCACTTCACTGCATCGATCACCTTCAGCGGGTTGTACCCCTTCCCATCCATAATGTGCAGTATTGCCCTTTCTGTGGCTTTGGGGAGCAGTTTAGGAGGATGACGAGGGACAGATTCCAGCCGAAGCCATGGATGCTGCCTTACTTGCTCGATGGTAGGGCGCATGCTTGGGTCAGGGTTGAGAAGACCCTTTATTAAACTTTGTAGTTCTTTGGAGAAGTGCTGGGGAAACTGGTATCGCCCCTTCAGGGCATTCTCTATCCCTTGTCCTTGGCTCCCATTAAATGGGTTTACCCCAGCGATCATTTCATATAAAATTACGCCTAAAGACCAAATGTCCAGTGGTGGGCCTTGGTACTTCTCTTTTAAGAATACCTCAGGGGCGGAATAGTATAGGGTACCTCCACACGCGGTCACCTCCTGGCCAGGATGGAACCTGAAAGCCAAGCCAAAATCGCTGAGCTTGGGGTGGCCTTCACGGTCCATTAATATGTTTGCTGGTTTCAAGTCCCCATGGACAATCCCCCTGTCATGGCAGTACCGCACAGCCTCCAGGAGTTCTCGGAATATCAGCCGGGCCCTCTCTTCCTCCAGCTTCTGTGTCTCAGCAAACTTGATAAAGCGCTGCAGGTCTTTTCCGCGCGCATACTCCAACACCAGGAACATACAGGTACTATTTTCTGACACTTCCAGCAACTGAATGATATTGGGGTGCTGAAGGTCCTTTAGAATGCTGACCTCCTGTTTAACAGCAGTAGACCCCAACTTGTTCTTGTGAAGTACCTTCACAACTACCAGCATCCCTGTGCTCACATGTTCAGTGAGTACTACTGTGGCAAAGTTACCCTCACTAAGGGGCAACAGCATGTCATAGTCTTCCCAGAAGATTTCTGTGGACGATGACATTTCTGTGGACGATGACATGATGTCCAGCAAAGATGTTTTACATGCCACAAAGGATGCCTTGATGGAACTAGACATTATAAAATCAATTATCAAAATTTCGAATCTCCAACCACCAACTACTCTCCAAACACCACTCCACTTCACCCACAAAGGGTCTCTGGGCTGAAAACCCTACCTTATACAGCTATCTGCTGTGACCTCACAGGGGATCTTGTGAAGTCATGGTGCCAGTGGGCCCAGGCAGAGCTGGTCACCTCCACTTCACCCCTCACACTCTTGGCCATGAGGGTCTTTTGTTTCTAACAGAAAAATGTTACAAAATGTCTTACTAATGTGAGTTATGGAGATTGACACTTGAGTTTTTGAAATTCAAACCTGTAGGATGCTTCAATATCCCTTTTGTTTCTGTTCTGAGAATCTGTTCTCAGCATCTGTAATACCTCTTACATTTAGAGATCCCATGATGTCTACACTCAGCATCTCCAGTTCCTTTTGCTCTTAATTCTTACTGGTGTCAAAGTGATGCTGCAACTTTACTTACATTAGAATAATGTAACGGTCAGTGTATAAAATATGACAAATAAATTAATGCCTGTGCAGCTGACAGCAATTCCCCAAAAACATAGTCATTAGACTTATCCTCAAAATCCTTGGAGAGCAGCGGCAAGCACAGTCACAGAAAGGACACCCAAGAGTTGGAGACACATTTATTTACACCAACGGGCACTGATTGGTACATTCCCAGAATATCAGGCCCTGATTTCTGATGGTCTGAGGCCTGTATAGGATAAGCAAGTGGGGAGTACAGGGGCAAAATGACTTGTTGATTGGGGCTGGTTTATGCAGTGTGCATCACAGTGACCAGCTAGGCATCACAGTGACCAGCCATTTCTTAGAGACAGAACTGTTACCTGGACAACTAAGAAACTGCAGTATGCTGACTGGGGTGCGGGATATTCTGTTACAGGAGGACAGAAGGAAACAGGTGGACATGTGCTGTGTGAATGAAACAGTGAAACAAAACAAAAAGCTCTCTCAACTAAGCATTTTACATCCAGCAAAACTGTCCTTAAAATGAGGGGGAAAGCTCAGACATTCCTAGATGCAAGCACTGAAGAATGTCCGTCCTTCCTACTAGGCCTGCCTTGGGTAGAGGAGTCCCTTAGGTTGAAATGGAAGAACCAGCTCTGGTCCCACATGCCTGTGATCCAGCACTCAGGAGGCTGAGGCAAGATGATCACTGTGAGTTCAAGGCCAGCCTGGGCTACAGAGCAAGACCCTGGCTCACAAAGGAGAATTTTTTTTGCAGGAACTCAAGTCTGAAGAAAAGTCTGTTAAAGCTGAATACGTGGACCTTTATGAAAATCAGGACTGGTTTTGTATTCTACATGTTAGAGGCTCACATATTGAAAAGAAAACAAGGCACCCTGTAGTACTGTATTTCCTGAGACACAGTGTGGCATACGTGGAGGAAACTACAAACTCACTCCCCAGATGTGGGGCAGCATCCTATATATGGCTATGTTTAACTGCCATGGATTCATACCACCCTGGGGTGGCCTTGGGATTTTCAAAGTTATATCCACGGCATCCTCAAAGAAAACATAAGTAGCTTTTACACAGGTGACGAGCCCATTGACTCCAAAATGAATGACTCCTGCAGAAGAGCAGGACAGCTGCTGCTGGAGTGGGGACAGCCACGCCCAAGCCTCTCTCCCAGTCAGCAGCATTCGCAGACTGTGGAGCGAGAACCAGGCCTCACAAGGGGGTGGGCCCTGCCTGGAAACCATGTCATTTTCATTGCTTTGTTGGTTGGGTTTTATTCTTTCATTTTGTTTGATTATATTAAATCTGAAGCCATGAACAACTGTTCCAAAGATAGCAAGACGTGTTATGGTAGCCATTCTGGACTTACTGTGAGCTTGTTTTGAAGTCCTTTACTGCAGTCATTGTTTTGTGTTTGTTGTTTCTGCTCTATTCTGTTGATTTTTACCAAGTCCAAAGGTATCTGCAGCTATTTTGAAGATGATAGAAGCATTATGGTAACTAGCTGATTTTCTAAGTTTTAAAGACCTATATCACTTATACTGGTTTATCTTGATCGGTTTTGTTCTGTTTTATTTTCCTTGGTTTTATCCTCTTTTTAGGCCAGGGATTTAACTCAGCATCATAAGATCTGTCTGGCAAGTGTGAGGTCCTGAGTTTGATCCCTGATACGAAAAACATAAAATAAAATAAAATTTTAAAAAATAAAGAAGAAGAAGACGAAAAAGAGCAAGGACAAGATGCTGCAAGGCTCATGAAACAGCCACCTGACAGAGGCAAACTCTTGCAAGCTCTAATTCCCTTCTAATGAAGGGGCAGTGTCTTCCCAATCAAAAGCAGAGACTGGGAGACGAGATGGGAAACCTCACCCAATTAGATGCAAAGCAAGAAGGTAGAAAAAGTACAAAGTAAAAGTCCTCTGTGCCAAATACAGAAGAGTTGGCCACTCTACTGTTGGAGTGGGTCTTTGGTTAAGAAAAGATTTCAGGAGACACAGGGACATATTAGAGTGTAGGTAGCAACATAACTACATGCAGCAGGCCTATCCTGTACCAGTAAATTTTACTTTAGTGCAACAGCCAGCTGGGCATGTCACTACCTTCCCCTGAGGGACACTGGAATGCAGTTTATGTGATTATCCACTTGCTGTGTCAAACAATGAGGTGTGTGAGCAAGTGCAAAAGTCTCAAAATGGGATTTTCACCCACGTTGTGCTCCATCTAACTGCTTTTGTGTGTTTATTCAAGCATCAAAGAGGGTTCAATAATCCCCCATTACTCCAGGATTTATCTTTTTAAAAGCTTTCTTTTGATTTTTCTGGTGGAAATAGCCAGTTCTGTACAATGGCATGTGAAAACTATATCTTGGAGGAGGTCACAAGTGAATGAATCATCAGATTACTCATGCATGAGTGATGAAGATGATCCATTATGACAAAACACTTTCATAACAGAAGAGTGTTGTGGATGGATGGATGTCGATGAAGAGGAGGAAGGGGACTTTGAAATTGGCCATGTGAGTCAAACTTCCTGGGACAGTGAAGTGGAGCAAAGATCAACTGATACTGATACCGACCTCCTTTGTTAAGATGACAAAACAATGTGAATACATATTTGACTAGTGAAAATGTTGCAAAATGGCCACATAACCAAATGAAATGATCTAATGTTAATACTAAGTCCAAAATATAGTGAGGGACTTGGCAAGAGTGAAATGTATTGGACAAATGCTGATACTGCTATTCAAAGTTGGAAATTTTAACACATGAAATGTTACAAGATTCTGTGAAATATACAGAGGTTAAAATTCAAGTAAAGTGTTCTCTATGCACCATTAGCCATATTCAAAAATGTTTTATGACATGGTGCTGAACTGAAAGCATTTATGGATCTGTGTGCTTAGGAGGGATTTCTCATAGTGATTGCAGGAATGTAAAGGCCTCATGGAAAATGATGGGTCAACTATGGCATAATGCATGCCCTTGTGCATGTGAGGACTTTTTATGCTTTCAATTTAGACATTTAGCCTTGAACTTAGCCATAAGGTGTTTATTCATAGAATAATAAACCAGATGATGTTATGAACAGAAATGTTCTTATGGTTTGGGACTACAGTTCGTATGAGATTATTTACAGCAGAGAAAAATCCAGCTTTTCTTGTCAGTGAATTATGTGAAGTACTGTGGAGTGCACTGGTGAGCTGACAGGTGAATAGGCACACACAGCTTCCTAGATCCACGATGATAAGAGGAAAACAAAAAGATCTCAACTGTGTCCTATAAGAAAATACAGGAAAACAAAACATGCTATCAGTGGAAGTGTCCCTCGTGTATGGAACATGCAAGACTGCCTTGGGTATGACAAGTGCAAAGACTGCTTTGGATATGACAGTTGAAGCAAAGCTTATTTATGTGGTAGATTTTTGTTTCTGTTTACATTGCAGTTCACATAGGTTTCTATTTTTGATGTTATCTTTGGGTTTTATAAAGAAATACACAGCTGATGTGAAAAGATATCGATGTGTATTCTTTTTTTTTTTTTTTTTTTTTTTTTTTTGTCTTTTTCACTTTTTTATCGGTACCAGGGATTGAACTCATGACCGCCTGCTTGCAAGGCAGGTGCTTATGGTGCTGAGCTAAACCCCCAGCCCCATTGATGTGTATTCTAAACGCACAACACACAGTAAGAATTTAAGAACTTCTTTTGATATTTTATGTTCCTGTTGGCTGCACACTCTGTAACACAATAACCTTGACAAAACAGCAAAACTACTGAGATATCAAGTATATCCTACAAAAAGAGTAGGACAGCAAAACGTGTGCTCCCAGTGTGAGTATTATGTGTCTATGGAATACGCTGTGGTCATGTGCACAGACTGATTTAGATGTGATAATTGAAGTGAAGATTACTTTTTTGTAAATTGCTGTTGGTATTTTCAGTGTAATTTGTATAGTAATATTTTTGTTATTTTTTGTAGACTTTATGCCAAAAAATTGTTGATGTTTTAAATTTTGATGCTTTATTATAAACACTCAATAAATATTAAAAATTGAATACTTTATATTTTTTTGTTTTTTTTTCCTGGTAAGCCACTGTGTAATATAACAACACTTATAAAAGTAAAGTTAATAACTCATCAATAGAAATATTCTAAAGAATGAGTGTGTGTCTGGTAAACCTATGTTTCTGCACCTTTATGACAAAGTTAGTGTTATGCTCCTGAAATAGTCAAGACCAGGAGAGTTTGCAGGGATGCTGTTCACAGTGTCATCATCTAACCTTGAAGACTTCTCTGGAGGTTTCACCTACATCCTGCCATGCAGACAAGCTCTCTATCTACAGTTGCCAAATCCTGGGAGGCAACACACCTCCTGCAACTGGAGTTCAGTATTCTGTCTCTGAGGTGAACATCAAGACGGTCATACATGTGCCAGGCCCTGGGAGAACTCCTGCTCGTCCTCTGAGAGTTCAGAGAAATCCCTGGGCACTGAGATCACTGCCCCTCTAAGCCAGGGGCTCCCAGTCACTTCTCCTGTTTCTACACTAACAGTGTCCAACAATCTGACAGTTTCAAGGCCAGGGAAGCTAGAGAGGCCTTGCAGCCAGGCCATCCACAGTGTGTTTCAGACAGAACTGGCTGGGCTCCAGCGAGGGAAGTGGTTGCCCTGAAGTCCTGCAGAGCGGTTTTGAAAGAGAGTTTTGTAGGATATATCACCCGGGTTGGAAGTTGCTTTCTTTTATGTGTTGAAATACCTCACTCCAAGCTCTCCTGGTCTTAACGGTTTGTGTTGAGAAGTGTGCTGTATTTCTATTGGTTTTACATTTATAAGTGATTCCTTGCTTTTCTTTATGAGGTTATAAGATTCTGTTCTCACCTTGGACTTCCCAGGTATTGACTGTCATATGTCATGGGGAGATCCTTTTCTGATTGTGGCTACTTGGGGTTTCATCTGTCTTTCTTATCTGCATGTCAAGTTACTTCCCCATATTCAGAAAGTTTTCTGCTATTGTTTCTGTCACAGATTTTATGCCATATGTGCTGTCTTGTGATTTTTCACTTATTCTAGTTAGTTGTCTGTGCACCATCTAATAGCTGTTGGATCTACTGTCCATGTTCCAGTTTTGTAAGGTGTCCCTGAGTATTTGGGCACTGACACCAGCCTTGTCTTCTAACTCCAGGGCTCTGTCCTTGTGGTCATTTCTGTTGCCCACACTTTGGATACAAATTTAATTCTCTTGGATTTCTGTTTGGTACCATTTGTGGACTCAAATTCCTTGCTAAGTCACTCATCTACATTGTGTATCATGTCTTTTTTAAGCTCAGGTAATTTTGTAGTAGTGTATTTTGTAAATGTACTGATCATTCTGTTGAATTTAAGCTTTTATCACCTTGAATAATTCAGATGATAATTCACTGTCACTACTGTGGAAATCTCTTTAGTTAGTGTTTTTCAGTGATGCTCTAAGAGGTGTGGTGAACCACAAGCCTTTCTTTCCATTGTTTAAGTTTTAAGAACATTGTTGTCTGTTCTTTTCAAGGGTATTGATGTATAGATTATCTCTGTGATACTTGTGTCCGTTCTGAATAATCACAACAGTGACCTCATAAATTGAGAAATTTTTCTATTCAAATTCTTATGACAATGTGTAAAACTGATACTACTTCTACCTTCAGTGCTGGTTAAAATTCAGCAGTGAAGCTATTCAAGCCTGCAATTACTGGGAAGGTTCTAACCAATTCAGTGTCTTCCATGCAAATGAGGCTCAGGTCCAGAGACTTGGATCCTTCTTGTCTTTCAAAAAGTTTGTTCCCTGCATCAGCGCTTTCAAATATATCTGCTAATATTCTCCCCTGAACCGTTTTTGTTTTAGGTTGTATTTTTGGCCCTGGGAATTGAACTCAGGGCCTTGTCCTTGCCGGGCAGGCACTTTGTCCCTGAGCTCCATCCCCATGCTTCCTCTTAACTGTTTACTCTTTCAGGTTCTAGGTAAATAGTGCTGTCCCTAGTGTTAATTTCTAAATGTACTTCATCATAGTGAGACAAAATTCTCTGCATAATTGAAATTCTTTTAAATTGATTGTGGTTTATTTTGTGACTGTGTTGGAAACATTTCCTCCATGTATAGCAGTGAATACTGCACTGCTGTTTGGATGGGATGCTTCTGTCAGTGGCAGTTGGTATAAGTTTGTCCATAATATACATCCCTTCCTCCTTGCAACCAGAAGGTGGCCCAGAAGCCACCAGGACACTTAGACTGTTGAAACAGGAGACCCTTCTCTGAACACTCCACTAAACACCCCAG